GAAAAAGACAAAAGACAAAAAAAAAAAAAAGAGTGGAAAGTCTTCAAATAAACAACCTAACATAAAACCTCAAGGGGCTAGAAAAACAAGAACAAACAAAATCCAAAATCAGTACGGGAGAGAAATAACAAAAATCAGAGCAGAAATAAATGCAGAAATAATAAATTAGAGATTTAAAAATCATACAAAAGATTGATGAAACAAAGAGTTGGTTTTTTAAGAGATAAAATCAATAAATCTTTAGCTAGACTAATGAAGAAAAAAGAAGACTCAAATAAATAAAATCAGAAGCGAAAACGGAGACATTACAAACGATACCACAGAATACAAAGGATCATAAGAGACTACTATGAACTATAGTGACCAAACCAGAAAACCTAAAAAAATGGATAAATTCACAGAAATACACAAAGTACCAGAACTGAATCATGAAGAACCAGATGACCTAAACAGACCAATAGAAAACCTAAACAGGCCAAGAACAAGTAATAAAAAGCAGTAATAAACAGTCTCCCAACAAAGAAAACCCCAGGACTGGATGGCTTCCCTGCTGAATTCTGTCAAACATTTAAAGAAGGACTACAGTTGTGATGGGGCCGGCCCGGTGGCGCACTGGATAGTGCGCCGCTTGGGAAGCACGGTGGNAAATAAATAAATAAATAAATAAAGAAGGACTAATACCAGTTCTTCTCAGACTCTTCCAAAAATTGAAGAGGAGGGAATACTTCCAAACTCATTTTACAAGGCCAATGTTCAACTCACACCCAAACCAGAAAAAGACAGAACGAAAAAAGAAAATTACAGACCAATATCCCTAATGAACAGAGCTGTGGGGATCCTCAACAAAACACTAGCAGACAGAATCCAACCACATTCTAAAAAATCATTCACTGTGACCAAGTGGGATTCATCCCAGGGAGGCAAGGATGGTTCAACAACTGCAAATCAATAAATGTGATCCACGACATCAACAGAAAGAAGAGAAAAAAATATGAACATTTCAATAGATGCAGATAAAGCATTTGATAAAATCCAACATCCTTCATGATAAAAATGCTCCACAAATGAGGTGTAGATGTACCTCAACCTGGTAAAGGCCACGTATGACAGCTAAACCTACAGCTAATATCACACTGAATAGACAGAAATTGGAGGCGTTTCCTCTGAGATCTGGAACAAGACAAGGATGCCCACTTGCCCCACTCTTACTCAGCATAGTACTGGGAGATCTAGCCAGCACAACGAGGTAACAGAAAGTAATAAAGGGCATCCAAATTGGAAAAGAGGAAGTGAAACTATCCCTATGTGCAGATGACATGATCCCATACATAGAAAACCCTAATGACTCCACCAAAAAATTACTAAAACTAATCAATGAATTCAGTATAGAGGCAGGATACAAAATCAACACACACACACAAAAACAATAGCATTCTTCTAAGCCAAATCATGAAATAGCCAAAGAAGAAATCAAAAAATAATCCCAGAAATTATAATTCACAGTAGCTACCAAAAAAATGAAATACCTTGGAGCAAATTTAACCAACGAAGTGGAAGACCTCTACAATGAAAACTATAAAACATTGGTGAAATAAATCAAAGAAGACGCTGATGAATGGAAAGATGTCCCATCTTCTTGGCTTGGAAAGATTTACATCATCAGAATATCCATATTCCCTAGAGGGTCTCCCATGCCAGGCTCCACACCCTGGTCCTGAACCCGTGGGAACCGAATCCTGAAAAGGGACAGTTGGTGCCATGGGGCAGTGGGTGCCTTCAGGCTCCTGCCTCAGTTTGCCTCCCTCAGACCCCATGGTCAGAGAGCAAGGCACATGGCTTTTAGTTGAGGTCTGATTTAGGCCCAGATTCCAAGGCACAGGATTCCTAAGAGCATGCTCTCAGGGAAAAGGGAGGAAACCGGTTTGGCTGGACCCCACGGGGGGTGGGGGGCTCTGTATGGCAAATTGCACCAGTCCCTGCCTGGAGCCCATCAGTCATTGGGGCGGGGGCAGGGGCAGAGCTTCCCTGGCCAGGCAGCTCCTGTTGTCTGGAGGGTTGGTCCTTGCAGAAGGGGTGGCTGGGGGCTCTGAGCAGCACAGACTCTCAGCTGCTTGGCAAGGACCACATGGCAGGCAAAGGGGGTCTGGGCTGGGCACCAACAGGACCCAGTCCCCTCCGCTCAGGCTGTAGTCACTGTCTACTGCTGTGTGACTTTCAGCAGGTCACAGTGTCCTCATTGTGAGATACAGGAATCATTCCTACAAGATGGTATTACATAATGTGGTGATTTACACAAACACCACTTATTTACGCAAAATATATGGCTTAGGGATCAGCTCCTGGTAGGTATTTTATAAATCATTCTGTTATTTTTGTAAGAATAATGAGCGTCCTTTTTCCTCACCAGCATTCCATCTCCTAGTGATGCAACCGCTGCCTCTGTCTCCAGCCTCACACCTGGCCCTGGCCCTGACCTTGACCCTGTCCCCGGCAACTGGTACCAGCGCCTTTTAATGACAATTTCCAAAGTCTGGAACTCGTTCTGGACTGATTCTGACCATGGCCCTGGCCTTGATGCTGATCCTCGCTCTGACACTGACCCAAGCCCTGATCCTAACCATGACACTGGCCCTGTATCTATCTCTAACCCTGACCTTGGCCCTGGTCCTGACACTGACCCAAGCCCTGATCCTGACCCTGACACTGTCCTTAGATCTGTCTCTAACCCTGACCTTGGGCCTGACCCTGCCCCTGCTCCAAACCCTGACCTAAGTCCTGAGCTTCAGTCTGATCCTGACCCTGATCCTGACCCTGACCCTGACCCAGGCCCTCAGTCTGGCCCTGGCTCTAGCCCTGATCCTGACTCTGGCCCTGGCCCTGATCCTGACCCTGACACTGGCCCTGAATCTGTCCCTATCCTTGACCTTGGCCCTGGCCCTGACACTGACCCAAGCCCTGATCCTGACCCTGATACTGGCCCTCAGTCTGGCCCTGGCTCTAGCCCTGACCCTGACTCTGGCTGTAGATCTATCCCTAACCCTGACCTTGGGCCTGACCCTGCCCCTGCTCCAAACCCTGACCTAAGTCCTGAGCTTCAGTCTGATCCTGACCCTGATCATGACCCTGACCCTGACCCGGGCCCTCAGTCTGGCCCTGGCTCTAGCCCTGATCCTGACTCTGGCCCTGGCCCTGATCCAAGCCCTGATCCTGACCCTGACACTGGCCCTGAATCTGTCCCTATCCTTGACCTTGGCCCTGCCCCAAGCCCTGACTCTGGCCCTGAGCTTCCCTCTAACCCTGACCCTGGCACTGATGCTGACCCTGATCGTGACCCTGACCCTGAACCTGGCATTGAGTCTGGCCCTGACCATGGGCCTAATCCTGACCCTGAC